GTGACCCCCAAACTGGGAGAGTGGCTACAGCAGATTCCAGGTAAAAGTTTTTTGTTGTTTTTATGTATATATAGATATATATATATATATATATATATGACAGGTTGTGCTTCCCTATGATCGTCATTAAGGCATCATGAATAAAGAAAACAGAATATGGCCAACAATGGATCCCTGTGGTACCCCACACGTGAGAGGAGCAATTGATGATGAGAGGTCACCAATCATAACAGAAAAGCTCCTATTTGACAGATAGGAGCAGGGTCATTTGAGTGTCAAGCCTCTGATGCCTCCCCAATTCTCAAGGGGTGAGAAGAGGACAGCATGGTCCACTATGTCAAATGCCGCTTTGAGGTCAAAAAGGACTAGAACAGTATGATTCCCAGCATCTACAGACAAGGCACTATTATTATGCACTCTCAGCAGTAAACACTCTTGAAATGTAGTTGAGTTCAAAACTTATAACTGTACAAAAACAAAACCTTTGAAAGAAAAGACAGACAAGAGACTATAATTGGACAACACTGTAGGGTAAACATTAAGCTTCTTAAGTAGGGGCCTGACCACATCATGTTTAAAGGCAGCTGGGACAAATCCTAAAGAGAGACGGGAACCAAAAATAGTAAGAAGACTCGCCCCAATGGTATTCAAAACCTCCTTCGCTATTCTGGCAGGGACAATGTTTAAGGGAAAGTTGATAGGTTTCATGTGTTGTACAACCTCCATTGGTAACGTCAGAGAAACTGGCTTAAATTTCTCAAAGAAAGCTGAGTGTGTTGGAAAAGCCAGTAAACACCATACAATTAGCACAGGTGAGTTTCTTGATACATGCTATGACAGAAAAGGTTTCCAAATTCAAAAACTTTGAACCAAGCTGACTGTATGATCTAGTTGAACTGCTTCTGTAAAGTGCCTTGAGATGATATGTGTTGTAATTGGAGCTATATAACTAAGCTGAATTGAATTTATTCAGCTGACATAACTGAACAACAAAAGCCGTGCTCAAATGTGAATACTTAAAAACTTGGTATTCCTTTGTTTGGCTTTTTTACCTGTTACAAATTTAAATTAATACTTTAATGTCTCTCTAGCCAAGGTCCAACCAAGGCGTGGGCAGTATCAGTCCCTATGAACACAAAAGTATTAGTTTCAAGTCCTTTAAATCTGTCTGTCTAAAGAATAAACTCTCTTTTTCAGAAAGCATATTCTAAACTCTTTTAAAGGGATGATGTATATATGTTATCAAAACATATAATCATATTTATTCAAAGGATCAATCTTAAAATTTAGATTTTAATCTGAATGACTACATGAATGAAAAGATGAAGGGAAAATGCAATAAAAGGATTTTCTACTCATAAAGATCTAAATGAACATGTATTTTATCTTCTTAAAAGTGTTTCTCAAAGGGCTGGAGATTAAACATTCATATTCTTAAAGTGAATTAAAGATCTAACTTCATCAAATGGTCTCTCTCTCTTTCCCTGGAGAGGTAAACTCACACTTTAAACACAACAAGAGCAGAAATAAAGACAAATCCCAACCCCAGGCCTAGCTCATGGGTTCAGCTGTACTGGGCGAGGTCACATGCCTCCTTTGCATTGTTGTCATAAGAGCTTCTTAAACACCGTTTTTCTGACCTGTCACCAAGAGCTTATTTACCTTAGGAAACCCTACCAGGGGAATACAAGCCCAATAACCTAGTCTCTGGCATCATTTGAGCACTTAAACCCTTTCACTACGTTAAGATGGTGCTTCAAGGCAGGGATAATGCTAATATAGCCCTGTTCACTAATGAGGGGAGAATGTAACGGGAGGTTGATAGAGGGATCAGTGCATGCAGATGCTTTACCATCCTGTTTTGGTAAAGAGGGAGCTGAGCCAGAAGGCAAAGCTTTCAATTTACCTCTGGGTCCACGTTCCTACCTCACCTATGGTCATGAAATCTGGATGGATGGTGGCCGGGACACTTCCCTAGAGATATGGGCTTAGCCACCCAGAAGAGGCTGTTAGTAGGGCTGTTTTCTTCTCCACATTGAGAAGAGTCAGCTGAAGTGGTACAGACATCTGTTCCACATGCCCCCTGAACGCTCCCTCAGGAGGCCTTCCAGGCATGTCTCACCCGGGGCGAGGCCTGGAGCATGACCTGTTGGAGGGACTATGTCTTCAGGCTGGCCCTTGAATCTTTAGGCCTGACAGAGGTGTCTGGGGAGAGGAAAGTCTGGGAGTCTCTACTGAGACTGCTGCCCCTGTGACCCGGTCCCGGATAAGAGGAAGAAGACAACTATTTTCTTTCCTTCTGTATCTGCTGTCTCTTGCTCCGCTCACTCTTTTCTCTCCTGTCAGTCTAAGCTATCTTACACACCACAAGTATTCAGCCTCTCAAGCAGCCCCAAAACCAGAAAAGTGTCACGCTATATGCCTAGAACAGCTTCCCCTCTAGCTTTAAACTGAGAAAGGCCATCAGATTAAGCAAAAACTGTTTTTAATTTCTAATATCGAGGTCATTTTTCTTTTTTGACCATTTGTAAAATAATTACTAGACATTGTTCTTTGTCCTGTTATATCTCAGTTACATGTGTTTGACACAGTCAATCTCAATATTCACCTGAAAAGGCTATATGCTTTGTAGATCATGCCCGACAGATTTGAGTTAGTTCAATTGCCTTTTTTATATCAATTCTGAATTCTTAGTAAAATTAACAGACAGCATGAGATATATTTACACAGTTATGCTGGTAGTGGTCTGGTATATTTTTTCTATAATTCCTGATGAATCCTTCCAATATATTGATAAACTGCAAGAGTGTTTTGGGGACATAAAATCTTCCACAACTAATTGCTTTTGAATTCAGACAAGAAGAAAATGTGTGTGTTTTGGACAAGAGCCTCTGCAATTTAACTGATTAAAAATCTATTTGCATGTTTGAATCTAAATTCATATATAATATTTTTTTGCATTTAAAATAGAAGTTAGTTTTTGATATTATGTGTAAAATCCACTGAGTGAAAAACCTTTTGTGAATCAGTTTAATACACATAAGCTAATTTGAAAGAGTTCCTCGATAAGAAGTAAGTGGGGGGAGGGGGATGAATCAGCTGATGAAGGAGAATCAGCAATAAGTGTTGACTAAAAGAACACAGCTGGAGTGTGTTTTGTGGACAATGACCTTGTTTTGTATGTTTCCTGCAGTGAAGACATAGCCCTGCAAGGTTGGAGGTGCTTAGAAAGCCAGACCGACTTATCGTATCACAGAAATGGAAAGATACAGAATTGTGCAACAAGTGCAAATAGTCTCATGTTACCCTTTCACTCATTTTTTAATACTCTAGAATAATTTCAACCTTCAATTTTCTGAATAAAACATTTGCACGCCTATGATGTTTCTTCTAGACCAAGAGTCTCAAACCGGTTCCAGAAAGGGCCGAGTGGCTGCCGGGTGTTTTTCCCATCAAGCAATTGCTCACCAGACTCTATTCATCTCATCAAGTCATCATGTTCAGATTGCACTCAGTTGATGAGATGACTGAAATCTGGTCTGCGATTGCTTGGTTGGAAGGAAAACCTGCAGCCATATGGCCCTTCCTGGAACCAGTTTGAGACCTGTTCTCGACATTTCACCTGAGTTGGCAATTTATTCATTCTAGAGAAACTGACACCTGCTCTGTAATATTTGAGTCTATGAAGGTGATTCACATGGATGTAAACCCTGAACTGCAGGTAAACAGATCAGAACAGGAACAGGAAGCCTCAGATGTTCAAGAGTCTAAAAAACAGTTCAGGCAAACCGTTCAGATGGGAACAGGCAGTCTCAAGGGCTGGTTATACTCCTGCAACAGTGTGTCGCAGTGAGCTTGTTGCAGGTATGATGCAGAATTTTCTTTATTTATACTCAATATTGAAGCGTAATCTGCGCTATTTTATTCCATGCCACAACGCAAGAGGGGAAAATCATGAACTAGCTTTGGGTCTATATACACTCATGATGTCATTACCTTGTGTTACAGCATCTACCAGTTAGGCTAGCTGCAACAACAAACATAAATCTACAGTCAAAACCAGCTCTTCCTCCACTACATGGAGTTCAGCTGTTCTTTAGCATATAGCTGACACAATACAAATAATGCTAACCCTCTGAGGCAGTGTTCATCAATTACAGTCCTTGAATGTCATTGTGCTGCACCAGATGTGTCTCTGATTCTACACTTCAAATGGCTGAATTACCCCCTTCAATGTGCAGTCGAGTCCTCATGAATGGTCCCGATTAATTGACTCGTGCGTTGGAGTAGAGACACATGTAAAACATGAAAGACACTAAAACTCAAATACTGAAAATTTAGGAAACCTTTAGAACCCCCCCTCCTTTTTTTCCACATCATTCATTATGATCAGAAGCATACAGTTACAGTAGGTAATAAACCTCCTTTTAACCCTCTAATAAAGACACTAACAGTTCCTTACAGTGTAGAATATTTTTGCATTTATTTTCCACTGGTAATAATAGATAATAAAACTAAAATATATTTCAAGTCGAAAGTTATGCATTCCTGCTAAACTGCATTCATATTTATACTACTGATAGAGATGCATCATTCCAGTTTTCCAATCTAGACCAATAAAAATACCCGGGCAGACATTTTTTGATGCCGATCTGATACTACTTTTGAAAGAATAAACCGCATAGCTCGACATGTGTGTAAAGGCTTTAGGCTTAAAATTAACAATGTAAAAAAAGGCAACAAATTTACACAGATATAAACATACTTCATATCTTACATTAACAAAAAAAGTCTACATTAACAGTAAAAAAAAGAGTTAATAAAAAACGCTTCAATTTAAAATGAACTGCAAACAGATATTTTGAAATGTAATATAAAATATGGCAGATAGCTAACACTCACTTTAGATGTATGTATCTGAATTGCTGTGAATGGAAGTAACTGAAAAAAAGTGCTTCCGATGGCTGCATCAGCATCATGCATCTAAGATCTAATCCAGCTAATTAGCTGTTTGATTTGGAGCTGATATCCTTTATAGGTTTTGCATAACTTGCATCTCTAGTTACCTGTCTAACTAAAATGACGTGCAGTGTTTGTATGAGCAAATTAATAAGAAACACACAATTTCTGTATGGAATGAATGGTAAAAGTGCATTTACTTAATAAACTTTGCATCTGCAGATATTCATGCCCATTTTCACAAAGTCGTTTAGATTTAAACATCCAGAAAAGAGTAAATTATCTCACATTTTACAACCGGTTTTATCCCCAGAAAAAAAGTTACATGTCCTTTAAACACTAATTTTTTGGTCTAAGACTTTTTCTCAGACCTTTCCAATGATTTCTCATTTAAAAAGTTTCAAAATGATGCCATGTGGGCTAAAGTAGGGATGTGTTGCCTGAAGACAACACTATAGAGAGCTAACAAGGAAGGAACAAAGAACTATTTAGGAAGTAGTGCTGCAAGTGGCACATAAACCTCAAAAGATAAGGTAAGCTGCTCACATAAAAAGGGTGACAGTTTGAAGAAGAAGGGTTTAGAATGAAATATAAGTGTACAGTTCCAATCTACATGAACACAAGCAAAAACTGTCAGTTAGTCAGGCAGAATAAAGATAAAGAGAGCAGCAGCCAACAGCCTAGACCTACCTCTGTTGTTTGGACTGTAGGGTCCGTTGTGTCCCAGGTGCCATTTCCCAATGAGAGCGGTGTAATAACCAGCCTGCTGCAGGAGCTGGGGCAACGTAACTTCAGAAAGAGGGAGTCCAGCCACAGAATTTACACCGAAGTTATGAGTGACTCCATTTCTGAGGCCATAACGGCCTGTAAGGATAGCAGCACGTGATGGAGAGCAGGTAGAAGCAGGGGAATGGAAGTCTGTTAATCTGAAAAACAACATTTTTTAAACAGTTTACTATCTGAGGGGCGCTCCCAAGAGAATAACCCCATATTAATTTGATGCGCTGATTTTCAGAGGCCTCCAATATATCATCAATAAGTGATTTACCTGAGCCCTTGCTGGGCCATCTGGTTAAGGTTTGGCGTATTATTTGTGTGTTTCTCTGGTTGGTTAGCATCCAGGTCGCCCCATCCTATATCATCTGCCAATATGATGATGAAGTTGGGCTTCATTCTGAACTGTTCTTCAGTTCGTCTTTGGGAAGCTGTGAAGATCACCAACCCAAACAGCAAAGTCCCAGACAGGAGCAGCTGATATGTCAGCCCGGCCATCATGGGTTAAAACTGTAAAACGGAACACAGGTTTGACTCTGTGCTTGGCTAATACACAACAACATTAAGGATAATAATAAAAATAGGAGCACATTAAAAGCCCTGTTTTTAATTTTCAATGGTTTGAAACTACCTGGAATTTTGAGTTTAGTTGGGCCTTTTCCTTTAAAGTTTTCGCTTATTGTTGAAACTTTCTTTACCATAAAGCTCAAAACTATTTACATTGAATATTGTTTTAATTTCATTCACACAGGTTCTCCGTCTCACCAAGGATTAACTGGACATCTGTCGTACTCATGATGAGGACCACAGAGGTTTAACGAAGGTGTGCACTGAGTTTTACCAAAGTTTGTTTCTACAATTATTCTTATTGCACAGTTATTATGTTTTTTATTATTATTTTATTTCATTTCTTTTTTTTTTATATAAAAATTTTTTTTATTTCATTTCTATTTTTATTGTACTCGCCAAAATGATTAAATAAAGTTTGCAGCATAGCTGAGTGACCGGAAACCTTAAAAATGAACAATTCTGTCACGCTTGAGAAAAAGACCAACCGACCGCTTACATCAATAATATAATGTACAACATGGTCATGGTCTTGAAGCCATGAGGAGAGCATTATCACAGAGGATCTGCAGCTGAAAGTGAGCCCCAAAAATCAGGCCTTTATGGGAAAAGATGCATACAGAAGCCGCAGGAAATCAGGTTTTGCTGTTTATTTTGAAGTGTTGAATGTAAAAAAGAGGTATTCAAAGTTTTGGAAGACAATAAATACATTACAACTGCTGCTCATCTACAGATACAAAGGGTTAAACCTTAATTTCTAAACACCTAAGTGAGGTTATTTTGAAATGGCATTACAGACTAATTATATATCAGCTGTGTGAGGATTATACAAACATCTATTGATAAATAACACAACTTAAACATGCAACTTCAAAATGCATATTTCAACAATGTTTAACATTTTGTAATGAGGGACACAGTAATCGAATTATTAGGTTAACAACAGTGCAGCCCTATTCAAAACATATTTGTTTGAACTGGAGGAAAGGTTAAAGGTCACTTTTTTCCCATTTATCAGGAACCATTTACTGTCTTTCTTTGCCATTATGGGTATATCCTGATAAACTGGTATTCCAGATCAACTTTTTTCATCTGTAGTGTGCAGCCAAACAAATTTACATGTAAAATAGGAGACACTTTAAGCATTATTATTATTATTATTTTTTTTTATCTAACTGAAGGTTTGAGGTTGGCAAAGTTAAAGATTTAAATCTAATGAGATCCTGTGATTGGACTTTGATCAAAACATTAATACCCTAAAACACGCCAACATGGTTTCAGATAAAGAATTCTGCAGAGAGGGTCAGTGTGATCCCAAAACCAAAAGATGTTGTTCAGCTATAAGATTATGAAGCTTTAAGAGAAAATACTAGATTTGTATAAATTACCTCTTTTGGTAAATAAATCATTTGAAATCGGAATTTCTTCACTCAGCTTGTTATTTAAGCTGATAATCTAAAAGAACGTAATGTACATTTGGCAGATGTCCAACTGTTCCAACATTTTTTGAAAACCTGAAAGACCTGAAAAATGTAACCAGTAGAGCGCTCCATGTTGGAAATGTGCGTCTGTGGACGGTTACTACTAAACAGGCTGCAACCAGATCTCTCTAAACCGTCACCCTCCTCTGAATGACTGTGAGCTTGTGACACACACTGCATGCCTGTACTTTGGGGTTCATGTGTGTCTGCAGACTAACCAGAGAGAACATGTGGCGCGTTTACAGTAGATCTATAGTCTACCCTGCGGAAGAAACTTACTCCTGACGAAGAAGGGATTGATTTCGGCTGAAATGAGCAACCCAAAGGTCAGAAAATAATTCTTAAAAAAAAAATTAACAAAGTGGCATAACTGCTTTGATTGTGTTGGATTTCTTTTTATTACATGAGTGGAAACAGCTGAGCTAACTTAAAAAGGCGACATAGAGCCAGGCTACTTACAGTGAGCGAGCTGTCATTAAACAGCAAACAGCCACGCGACAACAAGCCGCCGCTGGAACCAGGACATTGCGTCATTCGCACGAGGACGGACCGTACCTCCAGCCCCCCTCCACCCCCACCCACTGGTCATAATTAATCAGAAGGACAAATCAAAATCTTTACTTTTAAAATTATTAAAGACAGAAAAACGTAGAATTTAGAGTTTGAGTTAAAATCTAACAACAGAAAATAATATAAACATATAAAAGTATCTGATCCAAACAAAAAAGGGGAAAGAGGTTTAAAGAAATTGCACTGGAAAAAAAGTGTTAACACATCTCCTGTGTTTTTCCATCCTTTTAACTCATTCAGCCTCTAACATCTGCTCTGATGATCCCCTCCCAAACTTTTTCTGGTAAACATGTAGAGTTCAGACATCCTTTGCATGCTACACTGATTCATTGAGTTTGTATGTGACTGACAAACTCTCTCTCTCTGTTTTGAACTGGAAAGTAATTTCTCTTTTTCCTGCATGATGGTCTGATTTCAAGTTTTTTTTTTAAATAAGTACAAATCTGGAAAGTGAGGTGTGAATTTGTTTTTGGTTAATCCTGAATCAAAGCTGTGCAGAAACCCTGTTTAAAGTCATTACGATGTAAGTTTTTGCAGGAGGGTTTATTTTGCGTTGCAAGTTTAGGTTCAGCTGTTCAAATTGGAGGAAGATTTCCAGTTTTAATTCTTAGACTGTTACATTTCTGGCTGTGTGCTCAGAGTTGTTTTTCTGTTGGAAGTTGAACTTCAGCCTGGTCTGGAGAATAGGCCTAGAGCAAATACATATTCCTACCACAGTTCCAGATTTTTATTTTTAACGAAATTTAGATTATTTTCCTTCAACTTCACAAACGTGAGACTTTGTGTTGGTACATCACATTAAATTCCAATAAAATGCCTTGAAGTTTGTGATGTAATGTGACAAAATGTGGAAAACCTTAAAACATTCCTTTTAGATATACTTATTTGTCAAATGTTGCCTGTTAACTGCACGCCTTTTGATTTGAATCTGCAACTATTTCTTTATTGTGATTTGGTTTTACAGTGTTTAATTTTGGAGCTTTTATCTGAGTCGTTTCAACATTTCTGCATTCCAGCTTTGTCAGCACTGTCTCTGTATGTGCATGTAGTAACAGCAACTAAGGGTTACCATTCATGTTTATTTGGTTTGTCAATAAAGTGTTATGCAATGACATCCCACAACACGAAGTAACTCTCTTCAATGAAACTTTTCATCCGATTTAGAAAGATCTGCAAGTCTGAATACTGATAATGATGGATCTACTGCCGTGCACCATTAACATTCCAGCAGTTGTTATGAAAGCTGTCTTGTTGCGAAACTGAATAAAACCTAAGGAGGAAAATTACATAAGCTTCATATAGAATATTTGAACTATACATTCACTACAAAAACAATCTAGAAATAATTAAAAATGTCTTAAATAAAGTGTATTTACCCTTAATTTGAGCAAGTAAATAAGATGATTTGGAAATGAAATTAGTATTTTTACTCTTAAAATAAGATCATTAAATAATATGAACTTGAAATAAGATAATGTAATTGTTTTATTTCATATTTTAAATGTAAGTTGTCTTGTTCCATTGGCAATGTTTCTCACTTATCTCAATTCAAAAAAAAAATTGCCTTAATGAGATTTCAATTTTTTGCAGTGTTTCTCTTAAGCGGAGGAGTTTTATAAACAATACTGGAAAGGTTCTGATATAAAGATGCTTTTATTTCTATTTATTTCCATCACCTTGATACCTTTATCATAGGAGATTTATAGCGATTATAATCCCTTTAGTGCATTTTTTTTATAATAAATAAATAGGATTATTGCAGTTTAATGCAAAGTTAATTCATAAGTAATTTATATTTTATTGCCAAGCATTAGAGTAGGTCAACATGTGGAAGTAAAGCAATGGTGATAACATCTGGATTTCACCAGCTCCCCCTCCCCTCACCTTTAAATGCATTAATAATTAATTAGTTCCAACTTTGCAAAAAGAGGCTGAACTTCAGCTACTGTTTTTTTTTTTTCTCTTGATATCTCTGGGCTCCGCTCTGGCACTGTTTGTACCTTAAACATATCTGGAAAGGATGCGCAGCAAACAGACGGAGGAACATCTGCAGCACTAAAACTGTAAAACAGGTAAAGCGCAGCTTTAATCTAACCTGTTCGTCATGAGAAGAGAAGATCAGAAGGTTTCAGAGGTTCTCTGACTCTTCTTGGCAGCTGTTCATCCACTGAGGGCTGGTTCCGCTTGTCAGATTTCGACCCCTCTGCAGAATCCAAGCCGTCCCAGCCGAGCGCCAGCAGGGATTTGGACCGGGGCAGGTGGCCAAGGAGCGGCTCCACACTGCGGACGGAGCGCGGTCAAAGGTCCGGGCATGTTTGCTTGGAAGATTTTCTCAATAATACATAAAAACATATTTATTTTAAAACAGACATAAAAGCATAAACGTTTTATGATATCAAAAAGACTGGACAAGAGTTCAGTCAGTTTTGTCCTCTTATTTAAAAATATATAAAGACCGACAAACAAACTATAATTTGATCTACTTTAATGGATAAAATTCTTTATAAATTTCTAGTTTGTGACCAGTCCATACTGTGACTGTAGGGGGCGCTGTTTCCTCCGTAGGCCTACAGTTCAAATGTGTCCCAAGTTTTGTGTTTTTAGTCACAAGAATAGTCCACAGATGGACTTATCAATAAATTACAGTTTTTAAATACCGTAATCAAATGGTTATAACGATGTTATTGTTTAAGAATGAGAAAAGAAATTATTAGAACATTTTTTTAAAGCACTCAAAATATGAGAAAAGTGCTTATTACTGATAATTTTATGCTTTGCTTTTAGACATTAATAAAATATTATATATAAATAAATATTCCTGTTTTTACTTTCCTGTTCTTACATTATAGGGTCCATATAATCTGTAATACTCCCTACATTATTATAATAAAGCTATTTACGGTACATGTATAAATCAAGTGAAACACAATGGCAATAGCCGTACTGCTCCACTTAGGAAAGCTAAATCTGTTGGGCCCTGTTTAAAAAAATTATATAATAAGTTACACTAAAATGGCTTGTGTTTTAATGAGATTTCTTCTAAATGGAATTTTGTTCTTTTAATGAAAGACTTATGAAAAATATTGTTGTTTATCTGAAGCTTAAAATGTTTGAATCGGTTCTTCATATGAATATCATAGATTCTGGTATAGATTTAAAGTAAATGCATGTCTTTGCTTGCAGATGCCTCTTAATAAGAGTAGGGTAGATGACAGACATTCACACAGTGATATATTTAAAGTATTGATATAATCTAATGTTTAAGGAAATCCTGTTTCTTTAAACATACGATCATATCACACCTGTTAGTCAGATTATATAGACTCTACTTTTTAAATTAGATTATCAAAATGAAAAGAACATTTTATAAAATGTTTAGCTCATTAAGTTGTAATGAATAATAAACTATCTGAACCCAGGATATTTGTGAAGAACTTCCTAATTCTTCTTCTTAATAATTAACATTTTGAGTGTATTAAAGCTTACGTTGCTCTTCCAGGACATGGCACCGTGTGGAGCTCAGATAACCCGATTCCTGGGGGCCCTGGTGTACTCAGAGGCTCCTGATGGAGGCTGGGGTTGGGTGATCTCTGTTGCCTTCTTTATAGTGGAGACTTTCACATATGGTATCATCAAAAGCTTTGGGATCTTCCTCCAGGACATGAAGGAAGAGTTTGGGGAGACCAACAGTCGAGTGTCATGGATCGTCTCCATCTGTGTGTTCACCATGACCTTCAATGGTAGGTCGCAGGTTCATCGGAAAACTGAAAAACAGTACCTAGTCCAGGAAGTCCAATTTCATCACAGTCAACTAATGAAATGATTTCTATGCAATCTGCAGGTCCTCTTTCCTCGGTGATGACTAACCGATTTGGCTTCCGCTTTGTTGTTATGATTGGAGGTTTACTTATATCCACTGGCACCATCGCAACCAGCTTCACTAGTTCCCTCAATCAAATATACATTACCTATGGATTAGTTACAGGTATTTATCCTAATTCTTTTACATTTCTAGATGTTAAATGATGAATGTGTCGTTTTTGAAGTTGTTGTGTAGGAATATCTTTTGGTTAATTATTCATATATGTGTTCAACTGTGCAGGTCTAGGCTACTGTCTGACTTTCCTGCCCACTGTGACCATCCTTGCAAAGTACTTCAGCCGCCGGCGCTCTCTGGTCACCGCTTTGGCTTCTACTGGGGAGTCCTTTGCAATGTTTGCTCTGGCACCAGGTAAGAGAGCAAGAGCGTCTGTGGATACTTGTTATACATTAACACCTGGAGTGCCAAAATATTTATGCTCTTTGAAAGTCATATCATCTTGCCATTGCTAAGATCTTTGGTATATTCCATTAGGACCTATATTGTATAGTGAATCATTGGGTGAAAGAATGAGACATGACTTTAATTGTCTGAAACTAAAAACAAAAAGTGTCATTTGGATTTAACCGATTGTGATTACAGCTTTAAGTCTGTTCATAGTCATTTTTGTTCTGAATTTGAAACGGACCATTCTAACACCGACGCATGCTTTTAGCTAACCATATTTCATTCTAGCGTGTTGCTTTATGTTGAAAGCTGTTGTCTTTTGAATCCTCTAAGTGAGTTTCTTCCAGCTTGTTTTTTTAGATCCATGCATTTTTTTTTCATCATCTCTTACCAGCTTCACAGCGAGAAAGAACCCCAAACCAAATGTTACCACCACTATGTTGAGGGTTTTTTTACTGTTGGTTTTGCACCAAACACAGTATTTTGCATGTAGACTAAAATGTTTAGTTTTTTTGTTTTTTTTTTAACTTATTTTGTTTTTCCACTAACTTTCTGCCTGCTTCTTATCCATAAAGACCAGATTTTTTAAGTGTATATCCACTAGTTACCCAGGCTGCCAATCTCTGCAGCTCCTCCAAAGTGATAGTTTTGAGCTTCTGACTGCTTCTCTGATTAATTCGCTCCTGCCTGAACCATCAGTTTGGTCGGGTCCAGTTGGACAGTAGTATTTTTTTCTCTGACGTTTTTCTTTGTTTTCATGATATTGATCATTTATGCTCTCTACTAAACTCTTTAAGGCTGGGGTTAATTTAATTTACACTCAGATGGACAACGACCAAATAGATGCCTTCTGGACGCATTTGGTTTTCCTAGATTTTAACATTATGTAAATGAGCTGATTATAAATGCATCGATTGCCTAAAATATTTTAAAAACCATCCTTTTCGTTCCACTTTCCAATTATGAGCCCTGGATGTTGGTCTGTAACATGGTGCTGTAATAAAATATACTGAAGTTTTTGGTTGTTTTTCCACTTAATGTGGAAAATCTATTTACCCCCTGTGTGTGTGTGTGTGTTTTTTTAAACTGACAAATCATCCTTTTCACTTCCCTTAACTGCATTTTCTTTGCTTTTTAGCTTTTTCTGCATTAAGAGACAAAATTGGCTGGCGACACACCATGGCAGTGATTGGAGCTCTGCAAAGCATCATCATCATCTGTGGTGCGCTGCTTCGGCCAATCATTATTACACCCAGAGCCACCCAAAATACGGAAAATGAACATTTTTCTCCAAAGGAGCTGGAAGCACTCAAGACTCAAGAGAATATAGACAGCTTGGTTCTGCAGAATTCTGAGGTAGAGAATAATGAGTTAGGATCTGTGAGCACCGGCAGTGACTCAGGGGTCCAGTCACTTAAATACTCCTCACCAGAGGAGAACATCTTACTGCACAAAGACGCAAAGTTTGAGACAGGTCTGAACTCTTTAGAAAAAAGTAAAGATTCAGAAAAACAAGACAAAGATGCAGAGAAATCAGCGAACAAAGAAGAAACTAAACCAGGAGATATGAAACTTTCTGCAGCTACTTCTAAGCTCTTAGACTTTTCCATCCTCAGAGAGTGCAGCTTTATCCTCTATTCACTGTTTGGACTGTTTGCCACTCTGGGCTTTTTCGCCCCCCCACTGTACGTCATTGAGCTGAGTGTGAGCCGCGGCATGGAGCGGGAGAAAGCTGCCTACATGCTCTCCACCATGGCTGTGGCTGAGATCCTGGGCCGATTCTCCATCGGATGGGTCCTGTCTTTGGTGGTGTTCAGGACAAGGAAGCTCCTGGTGCTCCTGGTTTGCGTGATCATGATGACTGTGGATTTGGTGGGATTTACTTTGGTCACAGAGTTTTATGGTCTGGCTGTGTGTTGTGGTGTGTATGGATTTTTCATGGGAACGCTGGCATGTACCCACATCCCCATGCTGGCAGAGAATGAGGTAGTGGGTGTGGAGAGGATGTCTTCTGCTGCTGGCGTCTATGTGTTCATCCAGAGCTTTGCTGGACTAGGTGGACCACCACTTGGAGGTAGGAAATATCTATTTTATAGGAAAGTGCTATAGTTTTTATATCATTGATGCTGTTTATTCATGCTTAGAGAAACAGATTATGCATTGGTAGAAATCTACAAACTAACTACTGCAACGTTTCCATTATCAAATTGTGGTTAACTTTACTAAAACAAAGCCCAGCCTAATGAGTTTCTAATGGTTAAGGGAGCTTCCAGTTTTCCCAAATTAATACAATGTTTTGTTTAGACTAATCTTTTCAAGTGCTTTTGTAACGGCAACCATATTTCTTGTCTTTTGTCTATCAAAATCTCTAAAGTTAGGTATTGAATTCACAATAATTAAAGCTCTGCTTTCACAGTCCTTCCATCTGTTCATCCTACTGTACTTATCTAAAACCCGAGTTATGCATTCCAGGAGTTAAAAACATTCCTATTTCTAGAGATACTCTCCAATTTCTTCTAAAGAATCCACACAGGTGTTCTAGGGATAGAAGGGATGTTATGCCATTTCAGCAAGTTCACAGCCACTGCTGTGGGTTGTCCTCCTGGTGGGATGGGCTCAAAACATTCAAGGAGAGGCTCACGAGAGAAATCCAGATCAACCACATTAACTGGTTCAAACCAGTGAAGACCTGGACTATTCTAAGCCTTTCTATGCATGGCAGAGCTTTTGCTTTGCAGACATAAGTCATTCAGAGCTACACCTGAGCTCACAGCAAACTACAATCACTGCAGATGTGGCAGCAATCCCTCAAGATGTATCTTGCTTTAACAGACTATCACTAAAACAAGAAGCTAATCACTGAAAGCAATAGATTATCATTTGAACAATGTAGTCATGCTTTTAGAAACTGACCCTCATCCCAGTAACTTTAAACTCTGAATGCTTTGATACGCATTAAAGGTCTCAGTCAGTGAACATCGACACCTTCTGGTATATAACTACACGTAGAAAAAATATCAAACATTTGAGTGTGCATTTGGCTTTAGGTAGATGTCAAAATAAGTTCAGATTTTTACTTTTACTATTGCACCTAAAATATATAGTATTTAGGTTCGAGGAATGTAGCAAATTTGCAACAATAGGCATAAAAGTTTTGGATTTTTGCTCTCATGCCATCAGCAGATATGCCTGCAGGGACCAATCCTACAAGAAAACTCGTTTCTAGGTCAGAAGTGAATGTGTAAAATATGGCATTGGGAGAATGCACACACCAGCTAGGCTGTTTCATTGATAGAAACGGTTTGTATTTTGGCTACAGTAGGTGTAAAGAGGTTAAAGATACCAAGAGAACCACATCGTTTCCCAAAGGAAAGGTGAAACACAAAGATTCCTGTCCTCTTCTGCTCAACTAAATTTAAAGTTCTTCACAATGAACCCCATATTTGTTTGGCTTTGTTTTCTTTATGCGGAATAGTCATTTCAGCACATTTCACACATATCTTAGGTTAGCAGATCAGATTGCACCTACTTGAAAAACAACAATAAGAAATCAGTCTTCAAATACAAAACAAAGTCAGGAGGGTTTGTACTTTTTGCACTGAAGCATGCCTAAATGTGGAGGAGAATTGAGTAAGACCCAAACCTGACGTAGAGGCAGTGGCGGCGACGTCTTTGGCAGAATCGTGGGGTGTAATTATTTAGATAGTTTGTAGGCTCTAGCTTTTTCACTATATGAAGAGTATGGTAGTGGAACAAACAGATCAAAGACAGCAGAGTTTGGAGCAAGTGGGGCAGAATAAGTACTAATAGAGGTGAAAGTTTGGAAAGGGAAAGGAATCATGGAAGTGCTGAAAAACTGGATTAACAAGTTTCTCAAAAACTTCAAAAATACTTCAGGCTGATTAATTTCATTTTTGCTGCTCCAACAACACTCGGATACTTAGAAAAAGCACAAGTTTATAAATTGTTTGGACATATCCGGGTGGTCTTCCCTTAATTTCCTCTAAGCATGAACAAAAGCATTTTGTCAAGCATGACACAGCCTTTGATTCCATCACTCGCTAGAGTTATAGGTCACTAAAATTGTTCCATTGGGTCTGTTTTATTTCACTGCAGGTGTGCTGGTGGACGTCACCCAGAACTATGGAGCGGCCTTCTACTCCTGCGCAGTGGGCATGGGACTGGGTGCTGTGTTCCTGGGATTGGTTGGACCTGCTAAAAGAGGATTACCCTGCAGAAAGACAGGCCTAAAACACTCTGCAATTGAACATGAAATAAACCCTGGCTACAAGGAAGAGCGTGGAGAGCAGAAAGCAAACAAAATAAGCCACAGTGCATTCGGCTGCTCTGGCACAGAGGACAAAAAGCAGATGAGTCAGGGAGAAGACACGAGAGAAGGGGATGAGGTTACAGCTTGTTATTGAGCTAAAAAACACACAAATCAGATAACAGATCAATACATAGAGGTATAGAGTCAAAGGTCATGGCTGCAGTTACTTATGTGACGGGCTCTCACTAACGTTTTAGATCAATGGATGGAGTGGTGTCTTAAATTTAATGAACCGACCAGTATTTTTTACAAGTTCTTTTGCCAAACAGGAAAATGAATGTTTTTGTTTTTTTTATCTAAGTTATGTGGTAGAGTGAATGAACAGTTACATGAGATTTCATGCAAGGTCGTGTAGTAAAACAGCCAGGGTTGCAGGAGAAGTTACTGTAGTTTCTGATAACAATAAGAGGTCTAACACTGAGGCCGTTTACATCACCTGTTGATCAGTCTAATTAACGCTGGAAAATACTGCAAATGCTGCAAACAAAACCTGCTGCACAAATTTTGTTTCACTTAATAGAGAAAATAAATCATAACCTCAGGAGAATGTGTAAAAAAAAAAAGCAATTTTCAATCAAAAAGTCAAACAATGGTGTTTAATCAGAAGTTAGTAAATGACTGTGATTTGTAACAGAAATGTGTTTCTACTTAATAAAGCTGTGAGGTCATCCTTGATTAGTTCTTAATTATGTCTTTATTTTTTTATGAAGCAGTGGCTCACACATTCATCACAGCATCTATGGAAGAGTCTGCGTTGTCATGGAAACCCACCCATCCATGTCAGATGACCTGTTAATGTTAGACTAAGAAAAAAAACGCGTCTGATTAATATTTATATTTCAGTTTACAATTAAAATGAAATATAGGCTTTCAGGTTTTAAAAGGAATTGATATATATTACATTTCATTAAAAACTCTTTAACAGGATAAAGGCATCAATAACTGGCGAACCTTTAGTGAATATTTAGGGAATTATTTTTCGTCTTCTGTAATTTCTGTAGAAGTCGAGATTTTACCAAATTTTTTTTGAGGTCCTTTTTGTTTTTGCTCCAGTGTCCCTTTATTTATGGGGTTCCTCATTTCTTCGCTTATCAGTTGTCTGTTGGTTTTTTAAATCAATGCTGTCCACAGGCTTTTTTACTTTTATTTAATGCATCTGCTGTTACTAGAACTCGTAGACTAAAGTCTGTCCTTTGCAATACAAGAAAAAAATGATAATTTACTGAATAATTTCTTATAACAAGCAGCACTTCTGACTTGTTTTTTTCTTAGTGTCTGCTCCAAATGAAAAACAACAAGATTCCACTGCATATGTTGGTTTACGCATTTTAAAAAATCATAGTTACAACCTTTTAATCAAACTATACATCTTTCAGAAATAATACATAACATGTAGAGTGGTTCAGCATAAAAGTGCCTTATTTTACAGATAAAATAGAGCATGCATTTTTTGATGGTCATAAAATGTATAATAATTTACCTCTGGTTACGATGCCATTAAATAATTCCGCACCAATAGGAATAGTAGGAAGAAGTCACTTGAGAAGTTGCCAGATCCTAGTAGCTTCATGGTGAAATGAAAAAAATTTCTCAGATTTAAGCCAAAAATGAAAAAGAGGCAGAACTGTGAGATAATTGGTCAATCTTTTCTGAGTTGGTGCTTATTTAGGGAACAAAGGGCTCAGAACGCACGAGGATGCCACTCTAGTTCTGAACTGGCATGTGAAATGTTTGGCTTGCTTAGCTTGAGCATCAGTGAACCTGGAAACTGGCTTCCAAAAAGTAGAGAACGATAGTGGGTGAGTGCGCCCCTTATTGGCTGGGAGGACTTAAACTTGTAGCTATACACTTTGCCTTCCTTTCAAATAAGGATTCGGATTTGTTTGAAGAGAAAAAGCACAAAAAAATTACTGTGGTGTAGTTAAAGCTAGGTGTGGTTACTGTGGTGTAGTTAAAACTTCCTGAGTATAATGTGGGCTTGAAATGAGGAGATTGGCAGAGTCAGTTGCATGATCTTATAATACTGTAGGCTATTCCTGTGTCAGTTATAAAGTGATGGGGTTACTGGAGCAACAGAAGAATAATTATGGTCAGAACAAGAGAAATAGTAAAATGTTTCTGAGTGGTTTTGTAACACTGTTATTTGAAATCATATGCAGCTAAGTACAGGTTATAACCAAGCCTATAAATTCCTCTATATGGTGCCAATTTATACATTTATCAAGGTGAGGTTTTCAGATAAATTTTCATTTGGCCGTTGAGTTATAATTAACGGCAGAGTTTGGTCTTCCGAACATAATTCTTCTGCTTCTCCTTTTCCCTTTCTGGATTTTTCACTGATATAAAAAAAAACTGGACAGAGTCCCTGAATATGAGCATCATGTTGTTTGTTTCTAGGAACAGTAATTCAAGGTAACTTTTTTGTTCAGTGTGTTCAAACACTTGCAAAGCCACAACCCTGGTTTATTAATGTCTTCAGTAGTTATTTTTTAAAAAGGTAGAGCAGCCTTATGAGCAAATTCTTGCCCTGGTTTTGAGAGCCAACACGCAGTCTTATCCAGCTTAGTAAGCCTAATAAATAAATAAAAAATAAATAAAGGACCAAAAATTAAATAGTATTATGCAGAATACTTCTCTATAGCTTTATCAGTAACTTATTTCCACCTTATCAGTCATTCTTGTCCAGAGTTCTTTCAAACTTTGCGAAACTCCAGTCGGCCTCAGCAGATGGCCGCTCACACTGAGCCTGGTTCTGCTGGAGGTTTCTTCCTGTTAAAAGGGAGTTTTTCCTCTCCACTGTCGCTACAAGCATGTTTGGTGTGAGGGATTGCTTTCAAGTAAATGAATCAATGCAATCAGCTGGTTTTCCTTAGATATGAACTTTGAACCTATCTGGCTGGATGATCTGGTTGAATAGTCTTTGTAAAGTGCCTTCAGATGACATGTGTTGTGAATTGGCAGAACAGATATAAACTAAATTCAATATTCAAACATTTTTGAGTTTTGTTTACATGATTTTTCAATTTGTTTTTCAGTTTTGGAAATGTAAAACAGTACAAAATGTAGAACCTTATATGTTTGGAATAAGCTTAAGAAAGAAACAATAAAAAAAATGATTTAGGTTGATCTGCTGTCGTTTACCAAAGGAAGAAAAAAAGAGCTGTAAGCATTTTGTCAGTGAGGTCCAAAAGGCTGACGACACATTGGTTTATGGAAATAAGTTATGGATCAGTTGTTTTCTGGTTGCAATTTAACCAGAGCAAATTAGGCCTAATAATACTGTATTTTAATCCAAGCTATATCAGAGCTTAAAATTGCACATTTTCAGTTATTTTCAGTTTACCAAAAGTATTGAAGGAGACACAGGAAACGTAGAGGAAGAGCCACATCATCCTGAACATTCGCATAGGGAAACAGATTGAGTTAAACACAATAGAGTTTAAAGAAACATGTCATATCCAACAAAACTGTTCTGTAGCTGCTAATAGAGTTTTTGGTTAAAGCATTAATGAATGACTAGAGAAAAATAACCAAGACATTAACAACAAATTGTTGATCACATTCTTGACACAAAAGTGTTTAGGTAAAAAAAAAAGAGCAAAAACTAAAGTGAAGAAACAATAAAAATGTACCTGCTAAATTGAAATAAACATTATTGGTTTAGGTAAAAAAAAATCCAGCAAATGTTGAGAAAGATTTTCTAGTACCTACCAGCTCAGCAGAAAATTCAGTCTGCCATGTGAACTCAGGCATGTCAAGGAGCAGAAAACCGACCCAGTCCAGTACAGAGATGACACTCCAAAAGAGTTTTTGACCTATGACTCTTAAAAGTGTCTAGTCACTGGCACTAATCATCATTACAGCAGGGGTTTGTGCACAGTGAGAACTGTATCTTACAGCCTGAAGGAGCTAATTAACTCATTTAAAAAAAAGAAAAAATGCATTTTAGCCTCTAACCTGTCTGCAGTTTAAATCCAACTAAAAAACTGGTGTTTGAAAGAAGAGCAGGCAGGTCCAAGGAGTTACAAACCCTCCTTCTGCATCCACTGGCAATGCTTTGATCGTTTGGTTTTGGGGAATTGCGGCCTAGTGGTTGGGTCATAGAGCTTGGAATCCTGAGGTTCTGAGCTTTAGCCCCACTGCCACATACTGCCACTTAGGGTCTCTGAGCAAGACCCTTAACCTCACACTGCTGCCCGGGCGCCGCACTGTGGCAGCCCCTGCTTCCCAAGGGGATGGGTTAAATGCAGAGGTTAATTTCTCCAATATGAGATCAATAAAGTTATTATTATTATCAAACATATGGCTGATTTCAAAGGTATTCTGGTCTAAAACAAAAATAATGTTCAAAGATTTGGACACAGAATTTTGTTATCTTACCTTTTACTGAAACACATAGCAGTTGTGTTTATATAACAGGCAGGATAGACTCATTGTTTCAGCTCAGTACTGTGAGCCACCCTCTTTGTAACGGGACCAGAGTCATGGTCCCCTTTTGGGACTCATGGTTTATAGTTTTCAGTTATCAGTTGTTCTGTTTTATTGATCTTCGGTTTGTTTTCTATTATATATAAGCAGTCTTCAGTTACTCTCTGTTACAAGTTATATTTGATGCAGGATGTTCCTTTGTTATGTCTTTATCAATTAGGGGGGTAAGAAAGCTGAAATTGATAAGAGGGATAGTGTTTGCATTCAGAACACTTTGCTGAGAACAGACAGCATGCATTCAAAGTAGCTTTTCACACGAGTGAAACAAGCCATTCTTAAGCGGGGGAACAAACACACAGAAAACTGCTGCAATGTTGGGATAGGCAAGATTTTCAGTTTGGTTTATCACTGGAGGCACTGGGAGCAGCTCACTGACTCATAGGATCCCATATGGTCTAGTGGTTAGGATTCCTGGTTTTCGCTCAGGTTTGACTCCCGGTATGGGAACTTTTAGGGGGATTGGTGGCCTAGTGGTTAGGGCATAGAGCTTGGAATCCAGAGTAAGTTATTTTTCAAGGTGCATTGTAGAAAATTTTGAGTCCACCAACTTTTTATCCACTAGACATTCGGACACTCATATAAAATGGTGTAAGCCCTATATGGCGCTTTATATAGGGCTGTATGTTCAGACACACCCTCCATTGTTTACCTACCTTTCTGATCTCTGTCACACTGGTGACATCATCACAGCTAATCTAGTGTGATGACGTGACCATAAATACTATGGTGGGAGGACGGAGGTTTCACAGCTTGTCAGTGGGGGTCAGATCCATCGTTTTTTGCCAATGGGAAAGGAGCAAAATGCAGATTGTTAATAGTTTGACCCAGTTTTGAAAAAAATCCATGTTAACCTGCTAATTTTATTGGGAAAGAGGCTTTAGATTGAGCAGATGCACCCGTCATTACTCACTTATCCTCCATCCTCGCAGCTGTTATTGTGCCTATTTATACCTGCCTCTGTCTGCCAGCATATCTCCTTTCTAGCCTGCATGAGACTCGTTCAAATGACAATGGAATTTTTGAACTGATCAGAAACGCATTTTGCCAAAGGAGATATTAAGAAAAGCTCTTAATATGAATTTTTGCTCATTCTAATGAGCAACAGTTTTTTTTTTTTATTAGATAATCTAAAAGATATGAAGTAAATTTGTTTTATCTTAGTCAAACAGAACACAATTATTTTATCTATGATTAGAACTTTCTAAACAGTTGATCAACATTGGTTATGTAAATAAGATTTCTCTCAAATTTGTTTTGTTTAACTTGTTTGGTGGAAAGATGGTTAGTTCTAATTTACTATTTTTCGATTCTGACTTAGCCTGTTCAGTTTGACACAATCATCCTATTTAACCCACCACTTCCTGTTCATGGATGCAAAGACACACCAGACTCCAACTCTATGCACTGCTCTGAAATGAGTCATGCACTCCACTGGAACCCCGTTTTTAACAGACATCTGCTATTCTTTCATAAAACTGGGACTGTGTTCAGAAAACTTGCATGGTTTTAACCAAGTTTGGTATCATACAATGCAGTTTTTCTTATTTTTCTTTTTTTATTTGTTCTTTATTTTATGTCTGCAGAATGGTGACGTATTGAGTCACAATCGTTTGTGATATTTTTGACTGAAAATTGTACCGGTAATTATCTTCTTCCAAACATGCTCAAGTATCCCAAGGTAAATTTTAGAAGAGGTGGCAACCTGCAGGGCCACCTTAAGGGGGGGCCCCTTGTTGAGTCCCAGCTGGATGCCTAAGGTATTTACTTCAATTCAATTCGATTCAATTCAGTTTATTTATATAGCACCAATTCACAACAAATGTCATCTCAAGGCACTTTGCAGTTCACCAGATCATCCAGACAAATTGATTCAAAGTTTTCTATCTAAGGAAAACCAGTTGATTGCATTGACTCATTGACAGGAAGAAACCTCCAGCAGAACCAGGCTCAGTGAGAGCGGCCATCTGCTGAGGCCCACTGGGGTTCAAGGAGACAGAAGCAGACATAGAAAAAGCAGCTGTAAAAGGCGGCTCCGTCCAGGAAACACACAGCCAGGCAGACGAGCTCTGAGCCAGCTCCCATGCCAGAGGAGGAAGAGAGCACATCCAGCCAGTCACAGTCAGAGAAACAGGACCACACTGGAAAAACAGGCCAATCTCTAACATCTATAAACAAAGGTGGTGATGGCAGCAGCACAGATTATATTTCTCTCCAGGATGGAGTCACAGCCAAACTTGCAAGTAGAAGTCATTCAAACAAGAACAAGAGTCCACCTAGTTGAAATTCAACGGGTCATACTCATGGATATAATAACCCAGGCATAAATTGAAAATATGGCAAGACTATAAACTCATTAAGCAAAGAGTACAAAGCAATAAATGCTTATATAAAAGGTTGTAGTCGCTGC